TGCTTTGGCATTTCTCATATACACATCCTAAGAGAGAGCTTCAAAACACCTGCCTGAAAATAATTTTCCAGTGAAAGCTACAATGTATTTTCTGCTATAGTTATCTCCTGTATCTTCTGTGTTTGACTGCCCTACTCCTAGGGATCGAGAAAGCTGTAGCATGCCCCAAAATCAAGAAGTTCCTCTGTAAAAATGGATGATTTAAAAACAAACCCTGGGTTTTTTCTATCACTCTTATTAAGTGAACGGCAGCAAAAATACATACAGTCAACATTATTTCCCCTTGACATGCCATCTGTGGCCCTACACCTTCTGGTTACAGTGACTTTGCATGAACTTGTGGCCAATTTTCAGAAGCCTGGACTTGTCTACCTCTCTGTGCACAGGGCTTGGCACTGGGAACCTGCTACTGTACAAACATCACATCATTTATATCCCTGACTCTGAGCCACACCTGGGCTCTGCACAGCATAATGCAGCAACAGAGGGACAGAGGTGACACTGAACTTGTAGCCACTCCAATGTGTTGACATCACTGTTGGCTAAACTGATTCTGTTGCCTTTCTGCTGTCCCCAGCCATTTGTTCTGACGCACAAACGTTTGCTTTGCCCCAGGTGACCTGGCTAAGAGAGGTGTGAAAGGACAGATGGGCAGCTGAAGTCAAGTGAAAGTGACTGCCATTTTTAGTGTCAGCACTTGCATATGCTGGCGTAAATTCAGTAGACCAGCAGCATAAGAAACCTTTGTGCCATCCATGGCTCAGGGGATGAACCAAGCCCTGTCATAATTCATATCACAGACACAAAGCAATTGCGTACTTGACTGAGGTTTGAATGTATTCAGAGGTACCAGAGCTGGGTACAAGTTGTTGGAGAGAGCTGAAAGGGTCTGGCTGAAAAGAGAGCCCAGTTACCATCCAGGGTTAGATGAAGTACAGGGACACAGAATATGTACCTTGTAAGAGTGTCACATGTGATGTCATGATGTCATGTCACACAAAATGTGCTGCACTCATCTCTCTCTGCTTGGGCTATCCCCAGCACCCTGGGCTCTCAGGGAACTGAAGAATTTTTTTTTTTTCTGAGAAAACAAATGAGAATCTGTTGTCAAATAGACTTCTTTTTCAAATGTAGAGATTTATAACAATGTGTCCATGAGGGTCACTTGCCATTTGCTGAAATAGTTAGGCTTTATAAATGCTATCTTCTGTTAAAACTTGCTTATAAAAAGTTAAACAGATTTTAAATAAGAGAAAATTCCTAAGGGGCTGGGGCAGGGGTCAGCTCTCCCTTTGAGCAGCATCTCTCACACCTCTGTCCTATAGACAAGCTGTGGTGCTGTGTAGAAACAAGGGCAATGCTTCCCATAATATTCTTCATCAGGGCCCTTTGGTTTCTTCAGGGTCCTGGAGCTGCAGAGTTGGGATCCAGCTCTGCAAAATGTGGGGATGTGCCTCCTCCTTGCTGCACTTCTCTCCTGGGACTGAACAACAAAAACTGCATGGATGTGGTCCTGTGCCACCTGCTCTATGTGAGCCTTCTTTAGCAGGGTGGTTGGACTAGATGGGTTCCAGAGGTCCTTTCCAACCCTTCTGTGACTGATTTTGAAGTGGGTCTCCAGATGAGCTATGTCTATGACAGGTACACTGTGGTATGCCTTGGACACTCACTGCATTGTGCAACTTGATGGTTAAAAATGTAACTATAATATTTGTAATAGCCTAAGGCACTAGGTCACTTTATGGATTAAAAACTTGCAAGATGGTATGTTCTAATTCAAAGACATTTTTAGACTTTCAAGAGTTAAACATAAACATTTAGTAAGTCTCTTAAGGTTGTATAGAGAGATAGAGAGAGAAAGAGAGGCTAAGCCTTTTCCAGTATTCTCCTAGAAAAAGAAAAAAAGTGCTTATTGCTAAGCAATACCATGGCCAGGAGTCCAGAAAGGAGATGCTGGTGTAAAAGCAGCCATTTCAGTAATTAGGCCACAGCTTAGCATCCTCTCCTGGATCCAGCTGCGCCAGGGGAAGTGGTGGGTGCTATCAGTCTGAAATAATGACTTCCAGTGGCATATTCCTCCCTTTCTGCTTCCCTTGGATTTGCTGATGGAAGCTCTTGTATTTCAGTCCAAGTGAGTTGGAACAGCAAAACTGACAGTGGAAAAGGTTTAATTGGGTTCACTTGACTGGAACAGGTCAGAAAACCCTCAGAAGAGTACGTCCCATGGCAGGACTGCAGAGGTGAGACTGATCTGCCCTTGGAAGTGCACAGGGGTGCACATCTGGGACAGAGGGGAGGCTGGATGGTGCAGTTTCTTCCCTGTATGGGCACAGCCTTTTTTTCTACACCCAGAACTGTTATCAATGACAGATTTCAAAGAACACTGCAGACAAAACTCTCCAAGTATCACCTCAGCTTCTGACTACACTTCTACCCTTATTTGGACAAGCTGGGACAGCACCTTTTTTGTGCATGTGTTTACATACAGACACATATGGATGCACTGGCAATAAAACCTTAATAAACAAAGCCCACTATGTGTATGTGTTTATAGTTGTTTAAAGGCTTATAAAGTAATTAATGAGCATTAAGATGCAAGAGTCTGTATGTGTCTCTATGTTAACAGTTGGTGGATTAGAAAGAGGTAAGTTGGGAAGAGATTCAAACCCTTAAACTTTGGGAAGAGCAACATCCTGTAAGCTTGGCCTACAATAATATTCAGTTGAAAAAAATGCTCAAAGAATTAAGACTGAGTATATCTAGAGGGAATTAGACTTTTTCCAGTGGTTGTGAGAGAAAGAAAACTGGAGCAATGCAAGATGACCAGGAAATCCCAGAGGGAGACAAAAACTGTACATAGTATTTTCAACAGTCTTTCCGTTCATATACAATACAATACAATTACTCTGACCATTAAAAAAACATTTTGTTAAAACAGCACATATCAGCTGGGACCTCAGAAAATCCAGCCCTCCCTACAGGCTGTCCTATGCATCCTTATGCCCACCTTGCCTTGTGCCAGGAGAGAAGTCACTTCAAGGGAAACAAGGCCTGGCCAGAGCTGTTCTGCACCAGCCAGGATAACCCTGCAGGTGGATATCCTCATGGTGTGCTGTTAGCAGAAACATGTGAGATTTAACTTCTAACAAGCAGAAAATTCTAAAGGCAGCAAAAAGCTGACACTGAGCACAGCTTTGCCAGAGGAGAGAATGTGGGCTGCTGTGTACAGAAGCACAGACACCCACCTGTGCGTTTGCACTCATCAGTCCCAGCCAATTCAGCCTCTGTGTGAAGTTTCACAGCATTGTTTATTTTAGAAAAGAAAAGGGCTTCAAGGAGAGCTGCTTTGCAGCGATCCTGTGTGCACAGCACATGAACTTGAACATTAAATATTAGTTTAAATTATTAAGAATAAATTTAAATTTAAAAATAGACTAATGCAAACAAACAAACTTCAGTCAACTTTGAAGCAGAGATAGTTTTAGGAAGAATATTACTATAGCAAATGAAACCCCTTGGACACTCTGAGGCAGTGATCTGGTAATTCCAGTTCAGCACCAAGATGCACAAACTACCCAGCAAGCAAACATTACCATGTCTAGCATATGAAGCTCCATGTTCACATTTTTCTTTTCTTTTTTTTTTTCTCCCCTGTCACAACAGAAAAAAGCCAACACAGCACAGTAGTTTTTTCCATGAAGCATCTGAGGTGACAGAATTCACTCAGAAAACAAAAATTAACAAAAGCAGTACAAAGAAGAATCCTGGTCAGCTTGTGACCACCAATAAGCCAAGATGGGTAAGAAAAAGAATAAAAAAATAGTTCACATCTGGCACCACAAACCTTGCTTGCATTCTTCAAAACCGGGGAATGAGAAAAAAGTCCATTTTGCAGAGACCATTTCAACAAAAGTTTTCTTTCCCTGAACCTGGAAAATCCAGGTATTAGGGCATAGAATTTTTGTTTTATATGTATATAAATACACATGTACATATTCATATAAATATAAAAGCAGAGCATCCTCCCATTTCTCCTCATAACCTATTATTATTAAAGCTTGTAACAGAGTTGGCTGAACTCTTCAGAAGTGGATACTCTCTGCACACACGTGGCATGGGGAGTTTAGCTCTGCTAGAGCAGAACACCCAGGCAGGGACATGAAATGTTGGGTGATGGAGGCAGATTTGGGTCAACAGCCAGGGGAGGGCAGGGAGCAATGACTGGAAATGGCCTCTCCTGCTCCTGTGCAGAGTGTGGCACTCTGGAGTGTTGGTGAGCAGTCTGGGCGATGGTGTGGGAGGATGGCTGCACAGACCCACTTGGCCCCTGGGAGCCCAGCCGCCCACTGTCTTCTGCACCAGCCACTGAAGAGGGACTGTCCCCTGCTTTGAGAGGGAATCACTGACCCCCAGCCACTTGCACACTAGTTGCCTTTGAATTATTTTGCCTATTGTCCTCAAAGCCACTCACGCCTTTCCCTGCCTTTGTTCGATTCCCCAGCCCCTTACCTAATCCTCCCAGACCAGCTTGCTTGCCAAGACCAGACACCTTTCTCTTGCCTGATCCACAGGCTCCTACTCACCCTGCTTTATGTGAATGCCTTCCCACAGTCCCATAAGACCCATTCTTTTCCTCAAAGGACCGAGTTCCTCAGAGATTTTTTGCTCTCTGAGACTTTTGAGCAAGTCAGAGCTGGTGGCACACTCTCCTTGAGAGGTGCTAGCTTCATTCCAGAGAAGGCAGGAGCAAAGTGCAAAAGATTCCTCCAAAACAGAAGGTATTTCCACCACCACCACCACCACCAGCTCTCTCTACCTCATGATGTATAGCACTTGTTTCAAATAAGGTGTTACTCATGTGTCTCTGCAGCCATCACTCTTGCTCGGGTGAGTGGAGATCAGTAGATGTCTATTGGTGAGCAGCCAAGTCACTTCATCATGACACATGCTGGAACGGCATTCTAACCCAACTGTGTTCTTCATAGCAAAAAGTGCTTTTCTTGAGAAACAAAATGAAAACTGTTCCCATGGAACATCTTACGGACTCAAAAATAGTTTTTCTAGGGTGGAAAGGATGGAGCTCACCTATTTTGTTTGGCTTTATCTCAGTAAAGAAACAGAGCTACTGGCAAAACGGGCACATCTTTGTGAAGTTGTTAAACTCAGGACCCTGGCTGGAATGTAAAAGAAAAGATGTAGCAAATGAGAACTTTGCCTTACGTGGGTTTCTGCTAGTTCTGGCAATTTCATGTGCAGGTTGTCCAAGAAAGTTCTGCTAGCCAAGTAAAGATGAATTTTTCAAATAATAGACTGTGGGTTTTCAAGGAGGCCTTTTGGGGGTACTGCTACAATCTGGTAGAGGTAAGTCTCTTCATGCCTCGCCGCTGAGCCAGATTGGAGGACAATACAGGCTCCAACCTTGGTGCCTGAGGTGCTCGGTTTAAAGCAAAGTAAGTGGCTGCCATTGCACCCTGTAAATCAGAGAGAGAGAAAACTTTGAGCTGGAATTCAATTCTTTGATGCTTTTTACTTCCCCTATTCAGTATCCTAAAAAACTGTCACACATGCACAATTTCCATGAGATGATAACACTTAGGCTGGCAGACAGCTAGAATGTCTCGGATTCAGAACAGTGAAGAGCAGTATGTGCCACCAGGTTATTACAATGAAGCCTAAAGTTAAAAATACTGAGCGGACGACAGTCAAAAATACAGTTAATATGGTGCCATATTAAATTTAGCCTCTGTGGCAAATAATCTTCCCAACTCCTCTATCACTTTTCAGACTACACAAATGACAGCTCATTCTTCAAGCAAGGATGAGGAAAGGGTGTAGGAGGTACCTTGACCAGGTGAACATCCTGTCTGCTGAGTTGGTTTTGAGACAGGTACTCCCTGTTCACTATCCATGGATGTCTCAGGACTTGGACTGCTGTGAGGCGCTGATGAGGGTCTACATGAAGCATCTTAGACACAATGTCCTGGGTTGAAAAGGATGAAAACAGGGAGAAAGCAATTAATAGCAGTGCAGTTTTACTAAGATCTTCCTGTTGACAGTGTCATCATTAGCATGTACAATGGAGAGAGTGATGCACTTTAGACAGGCTCTATGTTCTTTAAGTGTCAGGACTTACCTTCAAAATTTTCGAGTGTAATGTTCAGCTCTAAGTTAATAATCCAGTCAAAACATAATGTGGAGGGTATTCATTTTATTGAACGACTCTTATTTCCTGGCAACCTTGTAGGAGTGATAAACACCTAGGGAGAGGACGCCATCTGGAGGCATCTCCTCACTGACCTCGAGGCATGCTTACAAGAGAAACTTAGAACAGAAACTCAACACTCAGGTAACTAAAGTTCAATTAGGTTAACTCTACAACATCTAAACATTTTAACTTCAAAACTGGACAGCTGATAAAAAAATCCACTGTGAGGCTCATAGGTGCTGATAGCAAGATAAATGTTACTAGGAATGCTTGCAGTTTTGTGGTGGAAAGTATCGATGTTTTTCCATTGGGTACTAACAGTTGCTAAAAATGAAATATCTTGCAAGAATCTTTAAAGCCTGTAGAAGCTTCTGATTAATGCTGGGCAACTGGAAGCTTGCAATTTTCCTGCCGATTTACCTGTCTCACAGACTAGTGCACAGCTTCATGACTCAAGATCTCAGCACCAGATGATTTTTTTTTTTCTCCTGGGGTTTTCCTTGCCTCGTGATAGATGGGCAGCCTAAACTGTGAACTGTCCAGGAATTAAAACTGCCTGCTCCTGGTTAACTGGGAAGCAAAAAGGTGATTCATGGATAGACTATACATCTGTGGCATTGACAAATATACACTTCCTGTAGAAGAGCAGTTGCACCAAAAAAAGAGTTCTGTGGTATTTAAATCTTGAGAGAAAATCTGAGGAAGGGTTCACTGACCTTTGCAGTATCAGATACTGAATCCCAGTTTCCTCCTGTAAGAGCATATTTGCCACTGCCAATCCTGGCCAGAATCTCCTCTGGGGTGTCATCTGGTCCATTTGCAAAAGGAGTGAATCTATTAAAAACAAACAAACAAACAAAAAACCAAACCAAAACAAAAAACTATGTAATTTGCAAGTACGTGATTTTTAGTTTCTGGTATTAACTGCCACTGATTACAACAGGAATTTGGTTCCAGAATGTACCACTGATACTGCTGCTTTATTTTCACTCAAACTGTACAATCTGGTGGCTCCTCATATTGATCTGTAGAGGAAAAGACTGATTTTTTCATTGTTTTTTAAATTTTAAAATTTTAAAATTTTAAAATTTTAAAATTTTGTTTTGTTTTAAAAATTTTAAAATTTTTAGGAGTGAAATATTCTTTGTAAAAATAGTCAGGTTTTGACCTCTTGTTTTAACTCTACTTTATTGCCAACTCTTTTATTGCCAATGCCAGTATCTTGGTAACAGCAAGAAAGGACAAAAGTTATAATGGAGAAGAAATACAATCTGAAACAGAAAAAAAGGAAAATAAAGAAGAACCCTTCTTAATCTATTTTGCAATGCTTTGTTAACCATAATAGGCAAGTCAAAATTATTGGGCAAAATAAATTAACTGCGATATGTTACTTCCTTGTCCAGCCAGTCAGAAATTACTTGTAACATGCACACAGCTTGAGACAAAATCAGTATCACATGCAGAAGATACACTTTTTGTTTTCAGAGAGTGACAAGAGATAAGGTTTTTGCAGTTGACTACCATCTACCAGGCCCATTTTTACTCTGCAATTTTGAACAGCTGTGTAGGCTTACATGAGGTAGATATTTTTCATTTTTTTATATTTTTCTTTCCATCTGTCTTCTCTTTAAACTTGCCAGAGCAGTTTTTAGATTGTTAAACAGTTGCTTTGGCCACAGCTTCCTATCCCACCTGGTTTCTGGTAGCAAATTCAATTCCTTGTGCAGTATTTTCTCATTTTCAAAAACACTTCAGACTTCATAGCAGTTCAGCCCAGTGAGATAGATGCTATTCCAATCTATAGCTCTCAGGAGGGATGCAGTCAGAGCTAAGGACTGGCAAAAACTCTGAGGTCTATCACTAGCTGCACTAACATGACCCCTGGCCTATGCTCTAGTCCTGGCTGTCTCAGCCCTCTCTGCTCATAGTGATTATAGGAGGAGACAAAAGTCCTGGATGTAAATACTTGTCAGTTCCTACTAATCTCCTGTGGTGAGGAAGAACAAAACCATTCATAAATGCAGTGGTGGCACCTAAAGAAGCATTCCTCAACTGATTGTGTTACTATTATTTTCTCTGGTAGGTGCAGAAAAAGTGAGATACAAGTTACTGGCACCTGTAAGTAAATTGAAAATCCACTAATTGTGCTATTTGTATTCCTGATTCAAATATATTTGAATTTTTTTCCTTCATAGTCAACGAAGAAGAATTCTGAATATAATCAACTGAACAAATCTAACTGTGGGTAATGTGTTAATTTTTTTTTACTGATTCCAGCTGTGTAGCAGTCTAGGGCATCAGCCAAATAGAAACAGGTTCTTGGACATCCTAGTAGACTGGGAAACTTCCCCAGAAAGTTTTGCTATATTTCAGCTGACCTGGATCACACCTATAGTCAAGAATAAAATAGATGAAATAGAGACCGCTGGCACCTTTCCTATAATCCACAAGGCAGGAGATGCAAATAACAGAAAGTCAGAGTCCAACTCTTTGTTTTTTGTATAAAACCTAGGAATGAATCCAAGCTTCTTGTCACAGCTGAATGATTAGATTAAACGGTTTAGAGAGGTCACTAAAAAGCTGCAAGCTGAGCTTAGGTGTGATAAATGTGCTCATACCATACTCTGAGAAATTAAATTCAGGGGCCTGATAACTCTAGATTGGGTTTGCACACTTTGTTTCCCAATCATCCCTGCACATCTTATTCCTATCCTTCACTGCTTATTTCAATCTGTGTCTTTCCTTGGATCTTCTTGTTTTAATATTTCACTTTAGCCAACACATAGGAGTATTTTTGCCAAGTACCTCTCAAAAGTTTCTGCTGCCTGTTGCTATTCTTGCTGATCTCTTAGTTTACTTTCTGAATCATATTTTTCAAATAGGATCTGAACTCTACTTTTGTGTGTGTGTGTGTTTTTTTTAGCTTTTAGAGGTGCTCAGACACTTCAACAATAACAAATGAAGAATAACGAAGCTGAAGAAAATACAAGTATCAGTAGAATGAATTAACATTCTTCCATGGATAAGGTGAATGTGATGAGGCTCTTTATACTTCTACGCATCTCTCCTAATGGAAAACTTTCCCACTGCTCAAGTGGTGAGTGAACCCTTTAGGAGTCTAGGTCTCAGTGCATACAGGCAGTTTCTGTTAGAAACCTAAACAATTTGTCAAGTGTCAAAGATATCTATGCATCCTAGAAAAAAAACCCAAACTTAGAATAAGTCTTGGCATCTATTTTCTTGCTTTATACAACTGAATACACTTCTCAAAGAGGTCAGAATCCCTATCTGTGACTCCTTTCAGGCTTAATCAGTGCTGCAGTGCTGAGCCCACTGGAGACTGCTGCTCTAGGAGAACCTCGTCACTCACCCTGCCAACATGGTGTACAGCAGGATCCCCAAGCTCCAAATGTCACAGGCTGCATCATAACCTTGGCGTTTAAGGACCTGTAGGAAGGAAAGAGGGAGATGAAAATAGGTTAATCTGCATTCCTGAATTTTTAGCTTCCATTCTACAAAAAGCACTGACTAGTGGTTGTGTCTGCTGACATTCCAATAGCTGCATATCTGCCTGGAACAGGTGGCTGCCTTGGGATCAAAATGTCCAGTGGTGCTATGGAGCAAAGCAAAGCCCAGGCTGAAACGAGCTGGTTAAACTCAGCACATCTTTCCTCTTCAGAGTGAGAGAGAAGAGTGCATTTTTTTGGAGCTCAGGAGTCTTGGAACTCCTCTGACCATCCAATTTGCAGCAAAGCAGAACAATATTTCACTGTTTTAAAATGTTTCTTAAAAAAAGAGCTCATTAATACTTTAAAACATATCCTCCAACATAAAAGTTACCAACAACACTGTGGATGCATATGACAGTGATAAGTATTCCAAGTATTTGGATTTGACACAGCAAATGGATGCACACCGAAGCATATCTAATGTCAGACTAATGAAGATGCATGTTAAAAGGCTTATCTTCTGTATAAAGAAAAGTGGGCACATTTAGACTGGAGTTAACAGCAGGGTAAAACTTGCCCCCTTTTTCCCATGGGGCAAACAAGACCCATGGAAGTCAGCAGAGATCTGACCACTAGGTTCAATACCAATACAGGATGGTAAGGTGTAGCAGTAAGAGTAAGGTCCAGATTTCATTTGTGCTAGTGCACACTAGAAGAAATACCTGTTTGGATCAGTGCAGGTCCAAGTGAAAGTGAAGTCACCAACCCTTATATCTTCCTACAAAAGCAAATTACCCTCTGTTTATTCAGTTCTGACACACAAGAAGTTTTGTCCTCTTTAGATGGACCAGTAGATAGATATTTTTGCAAAGCACATGAAAAAGGAATGTACAAATTCAGCAAGTCTTTCTCTGACCTGCAGCCCTATTAGCCAGGAGTGATTTAAGCATCTGAATTCTATCACAGAAAAGACCAGATTCTGCTAAGGAAAAACAATTTGAGAAAATGTTGCCTTGACAGATTTTATAAATGATGAGTGGCAAAGCAACCATCTGCCAGGTATGCTGCTAAGCGAACATTTGCTACCTGGGAAAAAAAACTCAACAAACAAAAAAACTCCAACAGCAAAAAAAAAAATCCCAAACCAAAAACCAAACCAAAGTAAAACAAACAAACAAACAAACAAACAAAACCCCAAAAAATGAAACCCCAAAAACAAATAAAACCCCAACAAACACAGAGAAAAAGCTACAGGTCCTCCTGTTCACAAAGCTGGTAAAATTGTGCTTCTGCCTCTCTCTCCTGCACATAATATAAAGGCTATCTGGTTGATTTATTTATTTGTATTTCTTTAGTTCCTGCATTCATTCCCCCTGTATTAATGTCAGTTTTTATGGGAAAAACTTCTTTGAAAAACTGTTGCATTTCACTCCTGCTCTGTTTTCCTCCAATATCCAAGGACAATCAAGTCCAAGGAAAGTGACAGAAAAATGGGGCAGTGATGATACTTAGTGGAGTGGGTTAATAAGCAAGTGGTTACACAACCCCGAAATTATCGGGTCACTTCCAGAACTTAGTGGGATCTGAAAGAGAGTCCGAAACTGGTTCTTAGTGCCACACCATAGCAGGACATTGTGGGGATAATGGGTATCCTGGAGATATGATACCCTGGGTTCGTCCAGTTCTGAGAACGGCTCAGATATTTGTCCAACCCCCTTTTACTTCTGTAGGCTTTGACTTACTGGGTTCACAATGTTTACAAATAGAGGTTTTTCTTAGTTGTAACAAGCAGGTATGCAAATGGGTACAGAAAGGAAATAAAAACCCCTCATAATTTCAAATCAAAAAGCAGTAGTTCTTCACGAATTCTGTAGGAAAACTGCAGGATAAAACATTTATCCAAGATCACGCTAGTGCACCAGTAGTAGAAGAGTCTGGCTCTTTGCTCCTCACATGCAGCACAACTCGCACTAGGTGGCAGCGTGCCTCTTTCAGATAGCCTTCATCTTTGCTCTTGCTATCACCTGAACCCCAAATTAACTGTTTCCAAAATAAGGGGTGATCCAAGTGGGCAAACGTGTCCCCCTTCTTTGGTCACCGCCCTCTTTGTCACCAGCTCAGCTGACTTTCTGCCTCCTTAATTAGTTTCATGTGGCAGACGTTGCAGTCAGACTGAGAAAGGGAACGTGAAAGTCAAAGCTGGGCTGTAGGGCAGCATTATATCACAGGTAGAATGTAAAATCAATTAAGGCTTTATGTAAGCTCTCTGCCAGTTCTGGTAATGCTTCAATTAATCTTCAATGTCTCCTGCATTAGCAGGAACTGTCTTACTCATCACGAATGTCTGGGAGTGGTGATGTCTGCTTTCAGTTTAAATCAAAAGAGTCTGATCTGAAAGTGGCAATGTTTGTGATTACAGACACTATACAGAATAGCCCATCAAGAAAAACAGCTACACCTATTTTAAGCATCTTGTACCTTGGAGGAAATAGGAGTGCTTCAAATCTTGCAAATATGATTATTTTTGTGGTTTAGAAACTGAATGGCTGTGGTGCCACACAACTTTTTCAATCTACTTTGATAAATTTTAAACAGATCCTTCCCATTTCTAAAATGGAAGCCTAACCAAACTATAATAAAACCCCCAAACCAATCTGTCTTGGCAATGGAAGGTTTTTTTTTTTTCCTGAAGAAAAATCTGTTTTGAATTTATACCACCCTGGCAATGGTCTCTATAGAACAAATTCTCCTTCTGATGCTGGGAGGCTGTGATTCCTGTAACTTTTGGTATCATGAAAGGACCTTGTACAGAAAGATCATCCTAATCTTCTCTTTCCAGTCACAGATGAACATTGCATGGGAGAAAGAGAAGACTTAGGGAGAAAAAAAGATTGCTAGATGATACCAACTGAGAGACACTGGTATTTGATAACAGAGAACAGATGAAGTATTGAAAGACAGTAGTTTTTTTGTTTTTCTTATTAGGACCAAAACAAGCGAAGGAAGACACACATATGAAGTAGTGTATTGCAAGTACTAAAATTTTTGATTTTCATCGCTCCCAGAAATGGGTAATTACCCAAGAAATTAACTTCTAGCTCCTTCATTGTGAGGAAGCAGAGATGAACATCTCATGGGTCAAATACAGCAAAGAGCCCAAGCCATGAAACAGCCGTATGAACTCTTGTAGGGCTGCATGAAAGGATCAGCACTTGCCAGTGATGCAGAGCCACCTCTCCCTGTGCTTGGGACAAGCTGTTTGGTCTTCCTCCACTTTCCTGTCTGTAAAAATGAGAAAGCATATCCTACATCCCCCAGAACAGGGGTAGTTGGTACTAGGAGAGCCCAAGAGGAGAGATATTTCTTCAGCTCAGTGAAGCCAACAATAAAGCTCTCATTGATTTCAGCATAGTAAGGATTTAGTGCAAGGATTTTTCTTTTCATTTGTATCATAGAATCATGGAATGGTTAAGATTGGAAAGGTCATATAGTTCAACCTCCCTGCTCAAGCTGGGTCCCCTAGAACACTCAGAATTGTGTCTAGATGGCTTTTGGATATTTCCAGAGAAGGAGACTCCATAATGTGTCTGGGCAACCTGACATCAAGATTTCCTTCTTAAGCCTTAATCCTGTTCTGATGCAGTGCACTAGAGGGAAAGAAGTCTGATCAGAAGCAGCTAGAGAAAAAAAGATACTTATCCCAGTAATGAGCCAAAGCATTGTGTGCACCAGACCAAGACAGACACCAGCTTCTGTCAGGAGAAAAACAACTGCCGTGATAGGACTAGGAACAGGAAAGTTACTGTAATAGAAGCTGTGCAAGTGCCAGTAGCCTGGTTTCTGCCTTGCTCCTCTTGTAAAGGCAGCAAGGGAGGAAGGACTGCTTCCTAGGACTCACTTTCTACTGCAGGCTTTGAAATGTGATCCTACCTCAGGAGCGACAAAGTTGGCTGTGTAGCAGGGAGTCATGAGCAGCCCGTTCTCCGCTCTGAGTTGCTTGGCAAACCCAAAGTCACAGATCCTGATAGAGTCTGGGTTTCCTGACTCATCCATGTAGAGGATATTACTTGGCTTGAGATCTCGGTGCACCACCTTAAGAAAGAACAGCGAGAAACAAGTGAGAAAAGGAGGTCAGGGAACACTGGGGCTTGGCTGCCATTTCTGGTCTGCTGGTTGAGGTAGGTCAAGAACTCATGCTGAAAATATTTAAGTTTTGGAAAAAAAAGTTACTTAAAAGCCTTGGACAGATGAAGGGGGAAAAAAAAATAAAGTCTGTTAAAATGAAAAACAAAATGTTTGACAGCCTCTGTGGGTGTATTAAGATGGAGGCTGCTGCTCTAAGGGGAGACAACTTCCTAAGGGTGGACAAAGTGGGCAGTTGTACAAACATCTTGGTGGCAGAGTCTTCTGGAGCTTGATAGCCTTGAATACTGAACTGAAAGGTGAAGAATATATCACATCATGGGAGGAAAGTGTAAGGTTCTTGTGACTGTCCATGTGAGTGGCTCACACCTGAAAGGAGGAATTAATTTCCTAATTTCAAAATGTATTCACACAATTTTATGTGACTGTGTGTTTTACCAGACATGCTGAATATCAGTGGCAGGAAAACAGCCCTTATTTGTTATAGCAAGACTGAAAAATTACCATGAAAGCATAGAAGCCAAAGCACAAAATGTACTTTGTTTTAACCATGAAGCAGGAAAAACTGTAAATATTTGACTAGTTATCCAAACTGCTTGTCCCTGAAATGCAGAAAAGGAGAGATTTTCAAACTGTTGCATATAAAGATCTTAGATTTTAAAAGTCAGATTTTAACAGCATGTCAGAAGTCTTTCCCATCAGCTGATCAAACTGCCACATCATTTAGAGAGCTGAGCATTTGACTTTCTGCCTATTTGCTGATTCAGCTACCATATTTGAAGTGTTGCTAAAAGTTCAGATCCTGCAGTAATGATTGTGATAAAAAGTAAACAACTAATATCTTTAGAAAGTACATGAACTTGAAAATCACTGTAGTGTGGGGAAAGAAAATACTACTTCAACATGCTTCAGTTCAGTGGAAGATGGATAAAAAGCCAATGACCCTATTTCACAAACCAAATGTAATTATAAATATGGAGGTAGGTTTTTGGCGGAGAGGCAGGGGGGAAACATATTTACATTTCAGAGAAGCAAAATCACAACTATTTGCTATTTCAAGAAGCTGAATTTTAAGAAGGTTGATGCAGCTAAGCCAAAAAAGCAACACTTACGCCCTGAGAGTGTAGGTAGTCCACAGTCCTGGTGATGGTGCACAGCACAGCGCTGGCCTCCCGTTCTGAGAAACACTTCTGTCGAAGGATGCGGTCCAACAGCTCGCCTCCCCGCATCAGCTCCATCACCAGGTACACAAATTTCCCATCATCATAGACCTGGAACAGTAACACAATAAATACGTCTCTTGGAACCATCGACTCAATAAAGGTTGATCCTTTAATCGTAGTGTTGGCTTGCTTGTGTGTGAATTTGCAAGAAGAAAATGTCAGCAAATGTGTGGGAAATGGGCTTTTTATGCTCAACAACTAAAAAGAAAACTTTATAAAATGACTTAAATCATCACTTTTTTTCTGGTGTCAGGAGCAGCTTGCTTATTTGTCCACACAGAAATGTAGCTTTCTGGTTTTCTATCATGCCAACAGAGCAGGCTCAGCTGTTAAAAACAGCACCACTCCACACAGCTTCAAATGTCTGTTGGCTCTCACCCAAGCATTCTTCTCAGTAGTGTTCTCTCTTTCCACTTCCACAGGGTAACATTTGCCATTTCAAATATCAATATTTCCCTTTGACTCATGATCAACTAAGGAGTTGTATTACACTGTTGGCCAACACTTGCATCTAATGTTATTATATAGTTTATATTTGCAGTTCTGGTGAATATATTGTTGGTATCAGCAATATTTTATTTACAAAATTTATATTTACATTCAATGTCAATGAGAGTTGGTAAAAGACATTTTATCCTTTAAATTGGAGGACAATTTAATGACATTTTCATGTCATCATCCTTTATCTGGACTGCAGTAATAGGCAGTGTTATACTCATAAATGCTACATGTTTTTGGAAAGGAATATAAAAACTTTTTTTGCACAGAAGTTGAGATACTCTTTAACACTTAGGAATTAGGTGAGACTTTCCTGAGGGCATGTGATTAGGAGATTCTTATATACTTCTTGGAGGTCTAAACCATCATGTACTGGCCACTGACTCAGGCAGGGTTTTGTTCTGTAGACTCTGAATCTAACATGGTGTGGAAAATCTTAGGTGAGACTTCAGGCAGCTAAAGTAAAACACCTCTGACTAAAGGCCATTGCTTCATTTAAGCATAGTGAAGGATTATTTTTCATATGAAATGCTGAAGAAAAATGATGACATCTCAGGCTGTTGGAATAGAAGGCAAAAAGTCCCTGGCATTAAAACACTACTGGGGGAAATCCTAGTGACTCTGTAAGCTCTCCTCTTCCCAGCAAAGCAGGTATCACAGGCTGCACAGGAATGGCTACTGCTCAAGAAACATCATCCCCCTATCCAGTAGCACCACTGTGTGTATTCAGCAGTGCCCCAAAACACCCAGCTAGGGAGATCTCCTTTTAAATGCTGCTGCAAACCCAAACACATTTTCTCATTCTCCAGCACTGTGCCCCTTTGGTTTTATTTATGGTTTGTTACAGTATATATGAATAGAATGAATCTATATGAATAGAATGAATCTGTATGAATAGAATGCATAACCTGACCAGTCTTTCCAAACGCTATCCAGTAATTTGTTAAGTCATGTTTTCCTTCTTGATTTCAATGGGTCTGGTTTTACCTTGGACCTTCAACTAAAGAATTTTTCAGACATGGACCAATAAATGAGCCTGACTATGAGGTGAAAATCATTTAATGCTGAAGTGCTCAAAGACTACTCACATCTTTAAGAGTAATGATGTTTGGATGCTGTCCATACCGCAAAAGTATCTCAATTTCTTCAGAGGGGTCTCTCTTGCTCTTATCAATTATCTGGAATAAATGAAGGACAGTAGTCAAATACCAGTTAGCAGCATTAAGCACAAAACGAACAATTCCTACAGTTTAAACAAATTACTATTCAAAATTCTTCTATTAATCATTTATTCTAGGAGAGGACAGCTCAAACCATGTGCAAATGTGAGCCATGCTGACTGTCTGCCAAAGCCAGATGGAGCAATAATTAGTTTAGATTCTGGAGGCATAGGCCCTCTTTTTGATGCCTACAGTTTTGTTTACCCATAAATAATGGCAGTTACAAGAAGTGTCATTTAGAAATCAAACAACATTGAGAATATTAAAATAATCATAGTTTTAAAATGACCTTTTTGACATAAAAAATTGATAGAATTGTAACATTGGCATATGCTTGTAAATATGCTGATAATTTAAAATAAATTGTCATACGTATATGTCAGAAATGAAAATGTATGGACATTTACTGTCAGAGGAGGTTTGAATTGAAACTTGGCAATCACTTGGTTCTTTGGGCCAAGTTATTGTAGTGAACAGAGTGACCAGACATTGTATTTGACCATGTAACCAAACTCTCTACCCTTTCCTAAACTGGAAAGAAATCTACTTCACAGATCACTTTTATGTAGTCAGCGTCTTTTGCCTTATTAGAAAATATAGTAAGACATGCAAACTTTTTAGTTTTGTTGCAGCAGGTCTTAGAAAAACGTGACACCTGCTGCTTAGAGAGCATCACTGCATGGAAAGCCAGCCATCAGGAGGGCAATGACTTCTCCTCAGGGATTCTGGTACCTATATTTGGCAGGAGAGCGTTAGTCATTTGTCCAGCTGAGAGTGCTGATTAATATTTCTCACTGTGCAGATGTAAATTATAAATATGGAACAAAAAATAATCTTAAGGGAAGTCTCTGCATTTTGGAATCTCAAAAGTAACTGCACAAGAAATGGCAAAAGGCTCATTCTACTAGAAACTCATTAGGAGTGCACTATTTTGGCTCTATTTCTCATTGCTACAAAACAACAGCAGTACTTTTGACTAACAGGTTTACCAAAGTGGAATGGGTGGCATTTTTAGAAAATAATTTCCATTATTGCCTTGGATTTCAAGGCTTCCAAACTTAAATGTGGTTAGTACTCTCCAAGTACTAGGCACAGAGCACAGATTTTAAATGACGGTGTTAGCAGGGAAAAAACAGCTTTTTAAAAACCTCTTTTGCTAATGAGGATAAATGCCTGTCTGGTTTTTTTATAAAATGCCTGCATTTTTCATGGTGTAATTGTGATGATATAAATTCATGAGTAGTATCTTATGCATTAGCCATAGTAATGCATAACTGAATATAAATCAGAGGCTTCATAGACATCATGACTGGCAGGTATGTGCAGTGATAATGATGGTCAGTAGTTGTCCATGGCTCAGGTATGCCTCTGAAGCCATATCAGTGATTTGATTCCGAATTAATAGAAGTATGACAAATGAAAGTGCAACAGGCAGCTGTTGCAGGTAAATGATTGTTGTCCACATTTGAATAAATAAAGGAAAACCTCAAGAATAGGTGAATGAAATAAAAATTTCTGCTGTTGTTCTCCCAGTCTTGTTGAGGCATTATCAAGAAGCCAATGCAGCCCAAATCAACTAACTCCACGTGAGTACAACCACAGTGACTGAATGTGTCCCACTCAACCAGTAAGCCTAAAATACGAAAAGATCCTCAAGGCCACCTCCTTGGCTACACTGATAAACCTCTTGTCAAGTTACTGCAGTAACTCAGGTGTGCCCCTGTCAGCATCTGCCTGCCTTGTACAAACCAGCAGAACCTACTGTGGCAAGCATTACCACCAGTGTGAAGTACCACTATCACTAAACTGGTGTAGCAAGCTGTATTTTCCAGTTTCCTTTTCTGTTGCAGTTCCCTGTGAAAGGAAATATCCAGAGCTGTGGAAAATTTTAAGCGACTATTAATAATGCAGGACTTTAAATGCATATATATGGCCTAAAAAAAATCCAAACCAAAAATAGTCTCAGCTATTGACAAAACTAAAACCAACAGAATCTGAAGCACTCTGTTACTGACGTAGTAGTAGCAGCAGCAGCAGCAATTTAATGCATCTAATTCACAATATGCTATGTAAATATAAATTGCAAGACAGTTCCACTAAGCTGCCCCAAGCTGCACCACAAACCACGTTGTTGGAGCTGTGAAGGGACCGGCAAAATTCCTCTCAGTCCCTGGGCAGTCTGATTGGACAGACCAGAACCATTTTTCTCCTCCACAGCAAGAGATTGTCACTCTGACAGGTGCCTCTCTTCAGTGTGCCTGTGACTTACACTTGGCCCATGACTGCTAAAGCAGCAGAGGAGGTGTTTGCTGCAACTTCAGCAGAAATCCCTCTGCAGTTCAGACTGGCTGCAGTATGCACAGTTCCTTTATTTGTATGTTGCAATGGCCACAGCAGTCCATTAAATATGCCCCATAGCTCCACTGTGATACTCAGTTCTGCTGATCTTCCTTTTCACAAAGTCCTAGATTCATTTAGGTTGGAAAAGATCTCTCGAGATCATCAAGTCCAACAATTAACTCAGCGTTGCCAAATCCACTACTAAACCAAAGTGCCTTATCTACGTCTCTTAAATGCCTCCAGGGATGGTGACTTCACCATTTCCCTGGGCAGTCTGTGCAGTGATTTACAACACTTTCAGAGAGTTTTTTGGTGTGCTGTTAAATCCACCCAGAACTTCCTGTGGTAAAAAAAAGCATTTGCCACCCCAGTCCCTGTTTCCTCTTAGACACTGTATTTTGCATAAATACAGACTCTTCTCTGTTCTCCTCTGGGAGAGCCCATGAACCTCATGAACCTCCTGCAGCTCTTCCCGTGCATGCAATGACATCTTTTCTTTAGGAAACTCATTCTGATTTGAATTCAACTAAAATGTACATATAAACACTCTCTATTACAGAATTAAGGGAAGATCCCAGCTACTAGTCCTGAGAATTTGAGTAATATGTAATGATGCTACTTTTCTGTTTCTCTCTTTAGATGTGTAATGAAGAAGACCAATTCAAAAAGCTGCCTTAATGTATAAGTAACTTAAATGAAAATGTACCATGAGCTCCATTGTACCTTGCCCCAGAAGAGCTATGATGCACAAGGGTCATCCATTGCCCTTAAGAAGAGAAAGAAACTGAGCCATAAAGCAAATAGACATTTTTCTGTGCATTGGACGCCCAGGGATTGTTCAGAAACTGGTCTGTGTCAAACAGTGTATGAAAGAATTTCGGAGTAAAATAGGCTCAGCACAGTCAATAGTGTCCTTTGTTCTGATAGGGGATTTGTTTGTTCTTTAACTATCATGTCCTTTGTGTGAATAACTGAAAGGAAAAAGTGCATTTTCTTTCCTCAGTGGGATTTAGGGTAATAACCTCATGATATTTGAATATGAGTTGAACTCCTTTAAAGGACAATACTGAACACTTTCTCTATTAAGGAAGAAAGGATCAGGACAGAATATTTTCAAGATCCCAATTAATGCATCCGTCCAGTTTTTACAAGTCATTCTACAAGTCTTCTGCATGGAAAAAAATAATCTAATTCTCCTTTACTAATGGGTTTTCAATGGATTTAGCCCTGCCAGAGCAGACTGATGAGTATTAAAGGGAGTATCAATAAAATTCTGTACGGGCAAAACCTTGCTGAAATTGTAACAGCAGCTAAAAAGACATTATATATATTTGCTTGCTGCCTTTTGGTGAAGGTATTTGCATGCTTCCAACTACGTAGATACATCTCTTCTGGACCTAGCTATGCTAGGGACCTTCAGCTGTTTGATACCACCCACCAGCTGGGACCTGCAGCCTTTACAGCCCTGCCAAAGAAACGGTACTTGTGAGCACTCCCTAATCCACTTTCAGTGAACCAGCCCTGCTAATACAAATTGCCTTTTCCAACACTGAAATTAATCTGCATGACTGTCCACGAGAAGAATGGAGAATGGCTGAGTTTCTCACATGGAATTCTCCATCACTACTGTTGTGAGATTGGAAAAGGCAAGAGGTGGGAGGAGACAGTTTAACTGCCTTTGCTGTCTGGAAAACGAACAGCCTAAAAGAAGTAAGAGAGAGAAGCAAGAGAGTGAGAAAAAGGACAGAAAAGAAACATGAGATGCACTGATGGGAAGAGCAGTGATACAAGCCTGAGGAGAAAGGATGGGGCTCTGGCCAGGCTTTGCTCAAGCTAGCAGCAAGGAAACTGCTCTCTTGGGTCTTTCTGTGCTTGGGAGAAAGGACCTTGTGCATCTTTAATGACCAAACAAGACTGTAGTAAAAGATTTTCTTGGCTCTGACTTGATTTTTCTCTTTAAGTGGAAGAGGGCTCAAAAGCTGTCTGATCATGTCAGCTGAAATGGGTGATGGCAGCCACCTGCCTTCCTGGGGAAGCTGAATGCACCCAACACTGTCACAGCGGTTTAACCCCTAACACCATGTGGTGTGTGCCATGACCATGGCTCTCTGTGCAGTAAAACCTCTCCACTTTATTTTAGGGGTTTATTCCACAACAAAACCCACAAAGCTGGGGAAGCATTGAAGGTACACCCTGCAGCATAGGAATAGATAAAAAGTTGGTTGAAGAGCTTTGAATTAGGAGTTTTGGTGGGTCATACTGCAGAAGCATATGGCATAGCCCTTTTTCCCCCCAGTCCCAAATGGGATCAACCTCTGCCTTGTCTTCAACTGCCCCAAGTGACCTCTCCTGGCAGCTGAAACTGAGGCACCAGAGTATGAACTGGGGCAGCTGAGCTACTGGTACAGTCCCAGTCTGCTGCCCCAGCTGCAGCAACACAAAGTCCAGCAGAAGATAGGGCAGACACCTGGGCATTGTCACACCTGATACAGCCACGCCTGAGGCTGCCAGTGTATTTAGGCAGTGGGATGATGTAAAGCTCCTTTTGACCAGCACTAGGGAACTTTGAATGGCTTTGTGAAAAAGCATAGAGGAGGAAGGGAGTTTTATATGCTTTT